GCCGTCATTACTACCACTGCTGGAAACGGGAAGAGGGTTTCCCTCCCATGACTTCATGCTTCTGCTGTTTCACCTCATCCTGGCCTGGCCCCTTCCATGGGAAGCATCCTTCTCCCCCAGGGAACAGCTGCGAACAGAACGGCGACGATCTGAGGCCGCCACTCCTTGAGGGCGGGTACCCAGGCCACCCTGCTCTGACACCCCTCTTCCAGGACTCCGCTGGCTGGTCACTGCGGTCGGGCCTGCCTTCGTGTGCTCATTCTCTCCCTATGGACAGTCTTCATTTGCTCATCCTGTAGTTTAATTTCTGTGTGTGGGGCGGGGTGGGGAGGTCTTTGTGGTGGGTTGTGTCTGTGTGACCTTCAGTCTAGACCATGGGCTCTGATCCAGCTCAACCAGTGGGCCCTCTGTGGGACACTGGGAGGTGACAGGGACATGTGCTGTGGCTGCCGCTCTGCTGCTGTTCCTTGGGTGCTATCACACACGTTCCCTGTGTTGCCACAACAGTCAAACCTCACGCAAGGAGGACCAACTAACAGAACCGGGACAGTCCTGGTTCTTCTGCGGTAACACCATCCTGGCCATCAAACCCATGCCCCTCTGACTTTCCCCTGTCCCTAGCATGGGCTAGTCACTCCCCTGAGGATATTCTGCACAGTTCACGCAGTAAGAGTTCAAGGAATGTCAGTTACTGTCACTGCTCCTCCCATGGGCTCTGTCTGCAGGAGGCACAGACGTGGAACGTGATGGAAGAGAGGACTGCAGTGTCCAGCTCCCCGTCACCATGTGCTTGGTCTCCTGATTCCTTGCCCTCCCTTCACCTCCAGCCCATCCGTGGCCCCCCCGCCTGGGACTGCAGACCCAGCTCCCTGTCGACCGCTGCTCTCTGGATCCAGCCCACCCTTCGCCCAGGCCCTGCCCTCCCTGCTCACGTGTGCCTGCGCTCCTCGCATTCTGGCTCTACTTCTCAGGGTGGTGTTTCACCAGGCACCTTGCCTGGGTGGCTCAAAGAAAACCGAGTGAGTGTTTAAGGCATCCCGGGCCAGAGCAGGGGAGGACATGGGAGCTGCAGGCCAGCAGGGAGTTCTGTGAGGGACAGGCTTGCAGCGAACTGTGCGCCCTGTCAACCCTAGGGCCTGGCCTTGTTACAGGAAGGCTGGGTCAGGATCACCGCCATTCATTTCATGAGCGTTTGTTGAATGCCACTGCCACTTGCTGGGAATCAGAGGTGAGCAAGGCAGACACGACTCGATGCCGCGTGGAACTTCAGTCCAATGGGGGAGACAGACACACACCATGAAACAGGTGAACAAAACAACCCCGTGTGACGGGTGCTGTCCAGGCACAGTGGGGTGCTGAGATCAAGACACAGGGGCTGGCCTGGAGGCCTGCTTCAGATCTGATGGCCGGGAAGCCCTCTCTCAGTGCCTAACTCCACTTCCCATATGAACTGTTTTCTCATCCCATACGTATCTGGAAAGACTTCCATCCACTCATCTTACATTTTGTGAGTTTTCTAGTGAGAAAAGAAAAAAACCCCCATCACAGGCTGTGAGCTCGAGAAACCAGGAGAAGAGCACCCCTGGCCCCCACCACATTTCCCTTTGTCCGCCCTTCGACACCTTTTCCCTGGTTGCATTTAGGCCTGGATTAATTTTGCTCTGGCCCGAGGCCCATGCTCATTTGCAGGGCTGCTCTCTACATGGGTCGGGTCCACAAGGCCAGCCTGAGCTCACACACCATCCAGCCGGTGGCCCTGAGCCCCGAGCTCCACACTCACTGCAGAAGGATGGAGAGGATGAGAAACCCTGCCACGGCCTGAAAGCGTGACTCACGGGGCTGCCCTGCGGTCAGGCTGATGGCTAAACCACACCATTACCCTTATGTTCTGCTTGTCAAACACTTGCGGGATTCCATTTTGGGCTTTAGACATGTAATTATGGTTCCCATTGTTTCCAGAGGCAAAATTATGCCTCAGATTATATAATTAATTGTGAGTCAGGTGGAATGCCTGCTTTGACTTTATACTCTTCCCTACATGGTTCGTCCAAATCCTCGCTTCATCCAGCGCCGCCATGCGCTGTCCATCCCCACGAGCTGAGAAAGTACGTGTTACTGTTGTCATGTTTAGCTGCTGTTCTGGGTGGGTAACTGCAAGCTAAAATCCATTATGGGGAACTCCATTCTTTCCCTGCATTTGTTGGCATCATCAACAATTCTTTCTGTCACCGGGACCATTTGGTCATTTACTCACATACTCAGTCAACGATGTCCCTGTAGGTCTGTTATGTGAGAGGGGCTGTGCTAAATGCAAGGTAAAAAGACATGGTTTCCGGCCTCAGAACTGCCCCTGGGCAGCGCTCTAGTCACTGGTGCCTGCCCAACTCACCCCAGACTCGTCCCAAATGCTGATTTGTCAGGTCCAGAGGAGGCTCTGGCATGTGGATCTTGGGGAAAAACAAAACAAAACAAAAAACCTGATAATTCTGATTACATCCTTGGGTTATGAACCCCAGGGCTAGTGATCTTCCCAGAACTCCAGAGAACTCCCCTCCTCTTTGTGGGCTGGCATAGCCATCAGCCCCTCTCTACTCCAGCAGACCACAGTGGACCTGGGCCAGCATAATATTGGGCTCATAGCCTAGGAACCTGCTCGTGCCTGAGGTCACAGGGTCAGGCCACCGCTGGCCCCCTAGTCTCATGCCCACTCTGGCAGGGCACATCTCTGCTGTAGTTTGTCCTGGGCTGGCTGGGGTTCCTCTGGGCTGAACTGCCCTGGTCCCCTAACCCTACCCTGGCTCTGAAGCTCCGCCTTCTGGTGTTGGTTCTGCAGCTCCATGTCGTAACTGTCGGATACACTTTCTCAGTGGAGGGGAGACCCAGGACACCCGGTCATGGAGGCCAGTCATTGCTTCTCTGTGGGCTGAGCCACATGGAGCTAATAAAGCAGTCAGAAGGGTAGCCTTTCAGAGGGGTGGGCAGGAAGACTCGGCCACCCCAAGGAGCTGCACAGAGAGGGAGGACTGGGCTCTGGCGGCAGAGATCGCTGGGAGTAGGGGTGGGGGCAGGTTCTGTTTATCAGGTGCCCATGGGTGGGGGAGGCCTGGACAAGGCAGTTAAAAGGCCTGAGCAGAAAGCAAGACCCAGATAGGACACAGGCCGGCCTGGCCCTGCCTCTCTTGCCTGCTCCCTTGGCTGCTGCTTCCGCTGCCTCCCCTGGCTGCCAGGACACAGCCGTCCCCTCCTGCCACTGGCCCCAGAGTGAGTGTGACTAAGCTCCAAGGGTCTGTCCAAACACCATGGGATCACCGCCCACATGTCATTTTTGAGTGAATGGCAACGGTTGTCTCATGCAATACCCTTGCCAGTTTGTGAATCCTGGTTCTTTCTGGTTGGTTTGTTTTCATTTTCATGATTATTTCTGATTTTGGATGTGACATTCTGCCCCAACACAGCTGATGGGGGGCCAGAGATGGTATATTCAATATTTCCGAATTCTGTTTTAAGTCTGCACATACAACAACTGGCCCAATCAACCCGAGTTTCAGTGTATCTTCTGTCTGGATAAATGGAGTCAATTCATTGTCTTTTTAAAAATTTTATTGAGGTATAGTCAGTTCACAATGTCCCAATTTCTGATGTAAAGCACAATGCTTCAGTCACAAATATAATACGTATATTCCTTTTCAGATTCTTTTCCATTGTAGATTAATACTAGATGTTGAATATAGCTCCCTGTGCTGTATAGTCAGACCTTGCTGTTTATCTATTTAATTCGTAAAGTCTTAAACAGATAAGCTGGATGAGAAAGATGAAACCAGAATTAGTGGTGTAGATTTTCTAACTGTGGCAATTTGCGGGCTCTTGACCTAAAAGCATCGCCTCTCTTGGTAGCATGTCATCTGTGGGATCATTTACTCAGCTTTCCCTGAACACCTGATATGTGGGATCACCTGGGGTGCCTCACAAGCCATGCCTCCCACCTCC